CCTGGAGACAGGCTGGTGTGGCGCTGTCCCCGGCCAGCGAGGCGCCGCTGGGGCCTGGCGTGAGTCAGGGGGCCACACGCAGCAGGACTACAGCCCTTCAGAGGCCAGGGCCCTCGGAGGCCTCAAAGCCGGCCGCCTGCAAGCCGCAGTGGCGGAGGCCGCAGGCCCCTGGCCAGAGGCTGGGGCAGGGCGCCCCAGCGCCTGAGGGCACCGACACGCAGACTGTGCCCAGAGGAGACCGGGAAGACGGGAGGGCGGGGCGGAGCCAGCTCCGGCGGGGGCGGCCCGCAGTACCTTCTTGGCCGGGTGGACTCCCTGGACACTCCTGATGCCCGGAGGGCCGCCGGCGTGCGTGAGGGGGCCCCCTGGAGGGGGCTGGGGCTGCTGCAGGGCCCCCTTGGTCAGCGTCACCTTGCGGGCCGGCTGCTGTCTCACTTCGGGGGGCGGCGGCAGTCGCTGGGGCTGGGTCTCCGGGTGAAAGGAGCCGTCGCTCTCCCCTCCCTGCTGAAGCCAAGGGACAGCCGGTCAGACGCGGCCCTCGCCGAAGGGGTCTTCCCGCACGACGGCGCTCGGACGCCACTCAGACGCCAGGGCCGCGCTGGGCATGAGCGCCCGGGGCTGCGGCTGCACCCCGCTGCCCGCACCTTCTCCCCACGCACACGAGAGCGCAAATGGGGGCCCCTGGCTGGCCCCGGCGGAGTCCAGGGCCCCCCATCACCGAGGAGCCTGAGGAGGGCAGAGCGGAGCCGCCGCGGCCAGTCACTGGCCCTCCGGCCGTGGGATGCCCCTGCGAGGGCCGTCAGCTGCCCTTCCCACGGGGGACAGAGCCTGACCGAAGAGCCCAGGGCCCGGAAAGAACATGTGGATGGTGGGGCCGTGGACCTCGCCGGCCGGCTGAAGCCGCCCTACCAGAAAGGAGGCCGAGCAGGGCTCCTGGGCGCCCGTGCTGCGGCTGCTCCCCCGGCTGGCCGCTCACGGCAGACTCCGGAGGGCGTGCGGCCCTGCGGGGCCCCGAGATGTGCAGACGTGCACAGGAGGCCGCCGGCCCTGCCTCTCTTTCCCCCTGAAACCGCTTCTCGCCACCAGTGTGGCAGAACAGGGGGGAGAGGTGAGGCTGGAACAAGACCGCCGCGCAGGAGCTCGGGAGCCCTGCAGGGGAGGGGGCGGCCCGGGGCGCCGAGGCCGCACACACCTGAGGGGCCCTCGGGGTAGCCGGGCCTGGGGGCGGCCCGGGGCGCCGAGGCCGCACACACCTACAGCCGACGCATCTCAGGCTGTGCAAACCTGAGTGACGCTAGAAATGGGGCCACAGCTGCCCGGATGGGGCAGTGCAGGCCTAGCCCCAAGGGCCCGGTGCACAGCGGCCTCCAGGGTGGGCGTCTGAGCGGGGTGCCGGAGTGCTGGCCCGGGGGAATAGCGGCAGGCAGCCAGGGGCCGGGCAGCTCCAAGAGGACACAGACCCTGGCGGCGGCAGGGCGACAGGCGCTTGGCGACACCTTTCCCAAGCTGCGAGGCCGAGCCGGCCGGAGCGGGAGGCTCTCACAGCCACACGTGCAGTCCTGGCTGGGCTCAGTGACCCGCTGACCGGCCGGCTCGGGAGCCCGGGTGTGGAAATACAGAAGCAAAGTGCTGAGTATCTGAACTGAATAGAAATGGAGATAAAATATATCAAAACTGAGGGGACACCCTGAAACAGCGCCTCAAGGAAGAAGAGACATAAAGTCAGTACACCTGAGTTTTTATCTTGAAATGAGAAAGAAAAAGGCAGAAAACCAAACTG